TGAGGGTAATTTTGTCTTGAGAATAAAAAGTAATCTCTTGACCATACTGGAATGTCCAAAAAGATTAAGCCTGTTGTCTCCATTACTGGATAATAACATCAAAATAGAATTATAGAGCCAATTTAACCCAGTTTCCTGTTTGAATTAAAAGTTGCCAGGTGAGCCCAGCTCACAACTGTGATCTTAGCTGAGATCTGAGGATCAAGTTCAAAGCCAGAAAAGGCAGGAAAGTCAAAGAGACTCTCCAGTTAATCACCAGAAAACAGGAAATGGAGCTGTAGTTCAAAGTAGTAGAGTGCTAGCTTTGAGCAAAGAAGTTCAGGGACAGTGCCCAGGCCCTGAGTTCAAGTCCCACAACAGCAAAAGAGAAAGAAAGAAAGAGAGAAAGAGAGAAAGAGAGAGAGAGAGAGAGAGAGAGAAAGAAAGAGAGAAAGAGAGAAAGAGAGGAAAGAAAGAAAGAAAGAAAGAAAGAAAGAAAGAAAGAAAGAAAGAAAGAAAGAAAGAAAGAAAGAAAGAAAGAAAGAAAGAAAGAAAGAAAGAGGGCTGGGAAGGTGGCTCAGTGGTAGAGCACTTGCATGCATGAGGCCCTGGGTTCAATTCCCCAGCACCACATAAGCAAAAAGAAAAAAGCCAGAAGTGGTGCTGTGGCTCAAGTGGTAGAGCGCTAGCCTTGAGCTGAAGAGCTGAGGGACAGTGCCCAGGCCCAGAGTTCAGGCCCCACGACCGGACCCAAAAAAAAAAAAAGAAAGAAAGAAAGAAAGGAAGGAAGGAAGGAGGAAAGAAAGAAGGAAAGAAAGAGAAAGAAAGAAGGAAGGAAAGAAAAGAAAGAGAGACAGAGAGACAGAGAGAAAGAGAGAAAGAAAAGAAAGATTGCCAGGGGACCACTTAGCTATGAAAAGTTTAAGCCAGCTTCCCCAGCCTAGTCTAGAAAGTACAAAAACCACTCTGGATAAGGACCACCACTTAAGCTTCTTGCTCCCATGTCCTGTGGGGGAAGAGACAGGGTCCTTTCCCCACTTCCTATAGTGTCGTGTTTTTCCATGCTTTTGAAGTAAGAAGACTGGGTCTAAGCAATATTCCTTGAAGTAATATGCCTTGTCGTTACAGCCATCTTGATGCTTTGCTGGGTGAAGGCTGCTTTCCACACAGCTCTGAAAAGCTGTAGAGGTAATATAGTATATTCTTTGGATTACAAAGTGTCCAGAGTAGTTAAGCTCCAGAAAAGTTTTACTTACCTTAGATAATTGGCCCTTGATTTCCCCTGATTGTTTCCTTGATGGTTTGCTTTGCTTATATTTAACACCTTTATTAGGTTTAAGTGTCCTTATTTGGTTTTCTTTGCTTATATATAACACTTGTTAGGATAAATTTCTCATACCTTATAGCTGCTTTGCCACTTCTGATCTTTGAGACAAAAGTCTACCAGCAGTCCACGACTCTCCAATAAAGACTCCCAGTTTGGACTTTTAAGTGGTGGCTTCTCTTTTTCTCATGACTGAGTTCCCTTACAACACTTCATTAAGTAAACCTTTTGTAAATTTCCAAAACTAAAAGAAAGCCAACAGCCTCAGGGAATTTACACACTCACACACACACACACACACACACTCACGTATTTCATAATTTCATCACAGGACCCCACAGTGCAGCCTTCTCAGCTGTTACCAACACTCAACCACATTTCTTTGGATTGAACAGTCAGTTCTAAAAACTAAAGGATTTCTCAGAAGGTCAGGGTTGTGGACACATTGCTCAAAACAAACAGTGGAATGTAGAAATAAAAGGAAAGGTGGGTGGGTTTAGTAGGAATCTGTAATGTGTATGCTAGCCTACCAGAACTTCTAGGCTGAACTGTATGTACTGCTAGGGAGGGAATAAAATAAAAGAAGCTACTTCAATGTGAAGCCTGGGATGTCACTTTTCTGCCCCGCCCTGCCCCCTCCCCTCCCCCATGCCAGACCAAACCTGAAAGTCCATTCAGAGTGTCATAGAAACCAGCTGAAGAAGTCAGGGTTGGGGAAACCCAAATGCTCCTGCTACTCAACCCAAATCTTGGAATTCCCAGCAACAGACCCTCGAGGTGATGTGATTTTATAGGACACATCTTTTCCAGGAAATGGAAAAAGTTAACCACCCCGCCCACTTAACCGAAATCTTGGCAGCCAAATGATCCTCCACATTGATGCCAAAGAAGACATGTGATAAGTGTTTTTAAACTGTAGCCTGCCCAAAAAGGACCGACTCAGAAAAACAAAAACAAAAAGGAAAGAAAAGAAAAAAAGGACAATGGAAAAACTCTTTGGCAAACCTGAGGGTCTAGAGCTTTAAGTTCCACAGCCAAGTCCTGTTCAAGCTAAAAGCAGACAGACCTAGGCCAACTGGGCTCAATCAGTTCATTTAGATAGCCAGCCATTCCACAGTGGACATATGGTAGGGTAAACACAGGCTTTCTCAAAAGTAATGACCAAATAAACTCTAAGAATAAGGTAGGAAGGAAAAGAGAATCTAGAAATTTCTGTACCTTTCTTTTTTTTTTTTGGTGGTGGTGATATTGAGGTTTGAACTCAAAGCTTCACACTTCATGTTAGTTATATTGCTCTATGTTTCGTTTTGCATAATAAAAATTAAAAATAAGCCGGCACCAGTGGCCCATGCCTATAATCCTTGGTACTCAGGAGGCTGAGAGCTGAGGATCATGGTTCAAAGCCAGCACAGGCAGGAAAGTCCATAAGACTCCAATAAACTACTCAGAAAACAAACAAACAAACAAAAACAAAAAAACAAAAGTGGTGCTATGCCTCAAATGGGAGAGCACTAGCCTTAAGCACAAAGACTCTCAGAGATACCAGCCAGGCCCTGAATTCAAGACCCACGACTGGTAAAAATATTTTAGATATATTGTGTCTCTGGGAGGTATGGGGTAATGTGTGTGTGTGTGTGTGTGTGTGTGTGTGTGTGTGTGTGTGTGTGTGTGTGTGTGTGTGTGTGTGTGTGTGTGTGTGGTGAGAAAGACAGAGAGAGAATGCATTAGGACTTGAACTCAGGGCACTGACCTTTAGTTATTTTACTCAAGGTTGGCAGTCTCATCACCCGAGCCACAGCTCCACTTCTATGTCTTCATTGAGACAGCCTCTTCTTGTCATGCTCTTTGGAAGACCGGTGGCCACTGTGGTGAATCTTTAGGCACTGCACTGACACAGATTCTTCTTTACCAAGCAGTCTTGGGTGGAAAAAAAAAAAGAGAGAGCATCAGCTTGGGCTAAGTAACTCAGTATGGGACACCTGTGAGTTGTGCTTTTAGGACTGTTTTTTTCTTTCAACTTGTTTTATCATTATCTTTAAGCAGTTGTACAAAGGAATTGTCATTTAACAAAGCAGTTTATGAATACAATAAGCATTTGTAGCTGGAGTGAATAGATTCTCTACCAACTGCTACAGGGTGCTACAAGGAGCATAAGGCCACTCCAATGCCCCACACTTGGTTACACAGACATTCAGTAAGGCCACAGCTGTTGTCTTGGGGGAGAATGCAAGAAGCAGTGAGGGTACTGAGTTTAAGTGCAGAAAGAAGGCAGGAAGAACCCTTTGCTCCTCACTGGAGGTTTTTCCCAGGGTGGACTCTTTCAAGAACAATGATGGGAATCCTCTTCCACTCTGGTCCGCTTCCTCCAGGTGCTCTTCCCCACACCCTCCATCTTCTTTCCTCAACAGCTCCCACACAGGAGTCAGTGCCACACCCAGAAGCTGGAGGTACCAGTTGTAAGGTCCGCTCCTGGATGGCGAGCAGACTCCACCCTCCTCGCAGCAAAGTCTCCACCCAGTACCTGCGTTACCTAGGCAACTGGGACACCTGGAAGAGGTCACATCTGCATCCGCTGAGGTCACATCTGAATTTGATGTGGCCACACCTTTCTCCGCCCATACCCTAGATAAGGCCTAGCCCAGTCCCAGATGCTCTCTCTCCTTTCTTTTCTAGCTCTCTCTGCTCTTGGCTCTCTCTCTGCTCTCGGCTCTCTCAGCTCTCTCGCTGCTCTTTTCTAGCTCTTTTCTCTCTCTTTCCTCTCTCTCTTTCCCAGCTCTCTCTCTTTCCTAGGCCTTTCCCAGCCATGTGGAGTGCCACCCTTGCCTGGTCCCAGCAGGTCTACTGAATAAACCTACCCCTTACCTGAATACCACGTGCGTGCTGCTGTTCTTACTTGGCTACCTCTTTTTAAAAACCTAACACCAGTAAACTAGGATTAGGAGCCCGGAGGGATACAAAGGACATGCAGATTAAGACGCTTACTGCAAGTTGGGCGCTGGTGACTCACACCTGTAATCCTAGCTACTCAGGAGGCTGAAGTTTGAGGATTGTGGTTCAAAGCCAGCCCAAGCCGAAAAGTCTTGTGAAACTCTTTTTTTTTTTTTTTTGGGTCCGGTTGTGGGGCCTGAACTCTGGGCCTGGGCACTGTCCCTCAGCTCTTCAGCTCAAGGCTAGCGCTCTACCACTTGAGCCACAGCGCCACTTCCAGCTTTTTTCCTTTTGCTTATGTGGTGCTGAGGAATCGAACCCAGGGCCTCAGGCATGCAAGGCATGTGCTCTACCACTGAGCCATCTTCCCAGCCCCTCTTGTGAGACTCTTATCTCCAATAAACCACCAGAAAACTGGAAGTGGCACTGTGGCTCATGTGGTAGAGCTCTCGCCTTGAGCTGAAGAGCTGAGGGATAGTGCCTAGGCCCAGAGTTCAAACCCCATGACCAACCAAAAAGAAAAAAAGAAAAAAAAAACCCTCACTCCAGATTCCCTTCAACAAAAGGTTGACCTCAGTAACTCCCCAACCAAACACCCAAGAGAAAGGACCATGAGGTTATAGTATGCTGCCACTGAAATGTATCTTCTAACAGCCTAAGTGATTCAAGAAGCTCTTGTGATGGGAATCTCTGCTAGACAAAACAGAGTCAAAATCATTGAATGGATACATAGTTACATGGTGGCTGAAAAAAGAAACTTTCACAGGAACAAAGTTATACCACTTTAATAATTTAAATAGAACCAACTTCAGGAACACACATACAGATACATAAAATTCAAATAAACAACATAATTGAACAATACATTTAAATGCATCAAAGTTTTTAAAATGCCCCAAGTGGACTCAGTGCCATGGATGTGGGAAGGAAAACTAGAAGTACTACAGACCAGAGAAAAACAGACACAATCATTACTTTGCATTTATCACCAAGACTGTAGACATATCAGACATTTAGAAGAACACTTCTGGAAAATGGATGAACAGAGGAATGTAAATAATCTCAGGATGATTAATTTATAGATAATTTCTTTGGTCCTTCAAGTCTCATATTTATTTTTACTTTTAAAAAGCAAACATGAATTTAATATGTAGAATTCTACCTAGAAATGTCTAAATATTAAGCAGGCTAATATTTTTACGAGGTTAGATTTAAATAAAAACTCAAAATCCACTAGCACTGTACTTTAGAAACTCCAAATATAGAAAAGGCCAGAGAAGTGGTAGAGATGAAACAAAACCAAACACCTCTGCCATCTTGCTCTATCATAAGCTTAATGGTATCTAAGTGGCAGAGATAAATTTGAAGAGCACTCTGTCAATCAAATGAGAGACTTCTTTATTCAACAATCTTCTTTGTGTGTTTGTAAGGGAGCTTAAGAGTACTTTGTTTTAATTTGACCCACACTGCCCCAGTGGAGGAAATTTTAAGATAAATACTAATAAGGCAAAAGTTACTGGACTGCAATATCTATACCACCTGAACAAACTTACACTGAACACTACCATCCACAGGAAGCAGAAGGGAAACAAGACCAGAGCTCCCCAGAGCCTCTGGCACAAAGCAATGTGCACAGCTCCAATGCCAGCGACTATCAGTTCACTCTGAGCATTTCAGATCCATGTAAGCTAGAGTTCTACAGACCCTGGAGGGGTGGATACTCTCAAGAGCCTCTGAAAATATTTTTTTTTTTTTAAATTTCATAGGATTAAAATGAAACCTGCTTTAAGGCCTCTATGTGGATCACACAAAGTAAATTCCCAAGGGACTTCTAAAGTGGAAACAGTAAGAACTAGTTACTTGCAATTCAGTACCAAGCCTTAAATTAATGGCTTTCTTTTAAAAAACAAGGAAAAAAGTACACAGTGAATGGTGTGATATTCTCATCAAGACACAGAGAATTAAAGGTCTCAATCCCCGTAGAATAACATGAGAATAAACTCGTAAACAACTTCAGGGACACTTTCTCTCTAATCAAATTTTAAAAGGATAGCAGGTAGAAATGTGCCTTTTTAACTTACAATAAGGTTTAAAAAAAAAAAAACCACATACCGACGATATTCTATCACCTTCCCTCAGAGACTAACATTACAAGGGAATGATTAATAAAAATATTAAAAAATAAAATGCCACTGGAGGTTTCATCAACACAGTGAAAGCGGAGCCTATGGGACTTTGTATTCATGGAGCAATACACCACCTACACATACATTACTTAAGCTCTTCAGATGTGGTACTATTTCTGTGGGAAGAGGAAAAACCAGTATGGTGGCCCACAGTTCACACCCACGCCCAATGCTCCCATGCTGATCACTCAGAGTATTAAACAATGTCAACCATGGAGTCACCTCTTTGCCTGCACCTTTAGGGTTATCTGAATGACAGTGGTTTGTGCACAGAACTTATTATTGGCAGTTTAACATTGCCACTAAAAGGTGGCAAGAAGAATGTAGAGGGCTCACCCCTTTGGTAATTATTTTTATTTAATTTCCTATAAATAATTTTTAAGTACAATCAGTGACAAGTGAAGTTCACATTGACAGCAGTTGAAAATGGAATGTAGACAATGAAGACAGAGAGGGCAGATAGCACACCCCACTGCATAGAGACGTTCAGGTCCTGATCAGGGTTAGAAACTCCTCCCGAGTCTTTGGGTCTTCCCGGAACACACCCAGCATCGTGCTGGTCACAGTTTTGCTGTTCATCTTCTGCACCCCCCGCATTACCATACACATGTGCCTACGAGACAAGACAACCAAGGCTTAAGTAGCTTGGATTTTAAAAGGTGAAGCAAAGCTCAAAGATTCATAATATCAGTTCACAGAACCAAGGGAAACTTTTTATGAAACTTTTTAAAAAGTCTTTCAGCTTTTCTAATTAGGAATAGTTAAGGCCTTGCTATATCCAACAAGAGAAGAATAATGGAGTTTTCTTCCTAGGTGAGAATAACAGAAAGAGTCTAATATAGATATATGAGTTCTAGATCATAGGATATTCAGAATTCTCACTTGATCCATTTTCAGATCTAAGATGGCACCGTGTTAGCTTAGGCACTCAGAGAAACAATCAAGTATGCTGGTCATTCCTGGCCTAATCCAGGTAATGGGACCAGTGGGTCTCAGCAACCTGGTGAAGCCAGACAACCTACCCAGAGCTCATGGTACTCTACACATAGAATGGAAGACAGCTGCCCCTCCCCTGACATGGTGTAATTCTCATAATCCATTATAACCCAAAGAAGAATCTGCAGCTGGACCTCTTTATGTGGAGTGAAATAAGCAACACACTCATATGTAAATAAAAAAAATTGACCTCATGTAAGTTGAGAGTAAAATGGTTTCCAGTGCTGTGGAGTGCAGGAGATAGAGAACGAGGAGTTTGGTCAATGGGCACTGAGTTTCAATGAGATAGAACAAGTTTCAGTGTGCTACTGCGGAGTAGGGATACAGAGAAAGATGATGTGCTACCTATTTCAATAAGCTAGAAGAAAGGAGTTGGAATTTTTTCCCATAAAAATTACAAATGTTGGTGGACATTATGCAACATGTATGTATCAGACTATCACAGGATACCCGCCCAATACAGACAGATGACTTTTACATGTTTATGTACCCATTAAAATCTAAACTTTAAACATTAAAACAAACTTTTCTCTTTAAAAAGAAGTCTTTTAGTTGCCCCTTCTATAAATTCTTAGGTTTCTCTATTTTGAAAATGTGTGACAGATATTACAAAAACTAGAAGAAGGAGTTAGGGAGGAAGGAAGGGATAAAGGGAAGGAAAGAAGAAAGGGAAGAGCAAGGAGGAAGGAAGAGAGGGGTGAAAGAAGAAGGGAGAGAGAAAGGAAAAGAAGACAGGCAAGGAAAGAGGGAAGGAGGGAAGAAGGAAGGACAGAAAGCATTAGAAAAGCTGCTTGGGCCAAGAAAAAGCTAATGAATAAAGAAAGACACGACATAAAATGCTACGTATACAAATCTTTGCAGCTAAGTTTACAACTTCCTGCCGCTCCACAATGCTCACCAAAACCCTGTCTCTGTGCCTGGATTCCTCTATCAGCATTACAGTGGATGCAAGAGGGATAAAGACTCTTTCCAGCTCAGAGATGGAGAGCATTAGTAAAACCTGTGAGGCATCATGGTCCTAGAGAAAGGAGGAGTGCTGCAGTCAGAACCAGTGGTTGTGCGCACTACAAGACTATCAAAGAAGGGTTTAGACTTACGTTGCTTCAACCACCACCCCAACTCCAGCAGGCTGCAAGGCTTCTGTGATGGCAACAGCGATTTGTTTTGTAAGGCGCTCTTGCACTGCAGATGTGATACACATCAAAGTTGAAAGCTGATACAAACAGCTGAAAGCTTCTTACCCTTAGAATACTTAAAATACTTTTAATTTAATTTTATTGTAAAGGTGATGTACAGAGGGGTCACAGAGGGGTTCGACATTTCTTGTCCAACAGTGTTATCCCCTCTTGGTTTTTTTTTTTCTACTTTCTCTCCCCTCACTCCCCTCCCCCCACAAACTGTAAAGTTCATTTCCAACGTATCTTGTGAGTATCACTGCTGTATTGGTTCGCCCTTTGTCTCACCATTTTGTTATTTCCCTTCCCTTTCTCAAATCAGATAAACATATATACAAGATACAGGGTACCAAAATAAAAACAGACAATCTTAAAAAGCAGACCTCTGTGAGGCTTAGGTGCCAAGACATACCAGCTTTTGCCAGTTTGTGTTGTCTGCTGACTAAGCCACAGGATGCTCCTGCTCAGTTCCTTCACTGACCCTGGAGTTACTAAAGAGCCCGCCCTCCAAAGGACCCCTGGCCCTCCAGCCTTTCTACAAGGAAGGGACTGGAGTAGTAACTAACCCTTACATGTGCAGTAAAACCAACAGATCCCTGGTTAATAGCATCTTAACTGAGCTGGAGTGGAACAAATAAGCCATTGCAAGAGGATTAACAAAAGGGATGATTTATTAAATTATTAAGAACCAATGATTTCATATGAACAATGCAATTCCTTGTGCTGACTACAACAATTTATCTTTGAATATATACAAAGGTCTTCATTGAAGCATTGCAACCATAAGACTGGCAAAAAATTTTCAAATGTCTATCAGAAAATCAAGGTATGGTACCTATAATAGAATTCTAAAGAGCCATCCAAATTGAATGAGATAGTTACATATATGTGGAGAGGGGAGGAAAAAAAACTGTTTTAAGAATCATTGAGTCAAGCAGGCTCACTCCTGTAATCCTAGCCACTAAGGAGGCTGAGATCTGAGGATCGCCATTCAAAGCCAGCCTGGACAGGAAAGTCCATGAGACTCTTATCTCCAATAAACCACCAGAAAACCAGAAGTGGCACTGTGGCTCAAGATGGTAGAGCACTAGCCTTGAGCTGAAGAGCTCAGGGACAGTGCCCAGGCCCATAGTTCAAGCCCCATGACCACAAAAAAACAAAACAAAATCATTGAGTCAGGTACCAGTGGTTCACTCATGTAATCCTCACTGTTTGAGAGGTTGAGATTATGAAGACTGCAATTTGAGGCCAGCTTGGGCAGAAAAAAGTATGGAAACACCCCCTCTCAACCAAGAGCTGGTGTAGTGGTGTACTTGTCATCCAGTTACAATGGTAAGCCTACAATATGGATCAAAGTCCAGATGCCACCTGAGCAGAAAAAGAAATCCTACTTCAAAAATAACCAGCATTAAACAAAAATGGTCTGGAGACCCATTCTTATCTAGATTTAACATAACTAAGCTGATTTAAAAACAGTAATATACGCCAGGTGCCGGTGGCTCACGCCTGTAATCCTAGCTACTCAGGAGGCTGAGATCTGAGGATGGGTTCAAAGCCAAACTCTTATCTCCGATAAACCACCAGAAAACTGGAAGTAGCACTGTAGCTCAAGTGGTAGAGAGCTCGCCTTGAGCTGAAGAGCGCAGGGACAGCACTCAGGCCCAGAGTTCAAGCTCCACGACCGACAAAAAAAAACCCTGTAATATATGCCTGGAAGGGTAAAGGAAAATGCCAATATAATAGGTATTTCTTTGTAGGCTTGAGACAGACTTTCTCTTCCTAGGATATTTTAATTTCTATATCATACTTATCATATTTGTAACACACTTTTATTCATTATATTTGCATTATACTTGTATACAAAATACGTTTTCCATAAGGAAAAAAAACCTGTTTTCTGTAAATAAAGATTGCAAAAGTTTACCTTGTAGTCTTCTACTGTAGATTTCTACAATCCTAGAAAAGAAAGAATTTGTTGTATTAATCATGCATTGTTTGAAGTGAAATTGGAATGCTCCCTCATAAGACAAAAAGGACTTCGTTGAAGCAATAGGATGTGAACAGCAGTGATATTGGTAGGAAAAGAGGAGGAAGATACAACCGCACAGGGATACGCAGTCTAAGGAGACTATCAATCACTGCACAATGGTGTCTCCATGTGTCCCTAAGGAAAAAACTCACAGGTTGCCACGTGTAACATCCACTTAGCAAAAACACAATTAGAGGCAGGCAACAAATTTTAAAGCTCACAAGTCATCAATTTCAGGCTAAGTCCCAAATGTTCTAATTAATCATATTGTTTTATCACAGCTTAAAGTTCAAACTAAAAATGAGAAAAGACTATTGGTTAATTAATATCAAGTCATCTATTATACCAACTAAATCTATTAGGGTAATCCAATTAGAATGGATTAGATTTCCTCAGGCATCTCTTCACAAGATTTGTTTATTAAGAACTTGCTTAGTAGGATTGCCCTTCCTAAATAAAATCCTCCTGATCTTACAACACAACATATCTAGTAATGAATTCTCCCCTTTCTTAGTGATTAAATACAAAGATGGTGATGTGGATGACCCACATACAGTAGGCAACTCATGCTAAGGACCTTTGCTTTAAAAACTGACCTGACAGTCTGACAGTCATGCATTTAGACTCAGTTTGAAGTCACTTTCCTTATGACACATTTTATGGCTCTTTCTTTAGTATAGTATACCCCTCAGACAGAATCTACTACAGTAGTGTCAACCAACTCAGTAATATGTACACCATCTTGTTTACCAACCTGGGGAACTCTGGGGGCAGGAGCCCATCTGATTCTTCAGGTCCACAGTAGGTAAATAGACAGAGTTAATTGTATTATTTTATTTTGAACAAAATTTGAGAGAGGGTGGCTTTCAAGCTCCTAGATAGAAGAAATGTCATATTTCTTACTGGGTCAGACTGTGTATGTGGTCCTGCTGATGTCTTCCCAGGTGATTAACTTGTTATATCAGTAGGAGATGTGGTTGATTTTACAAGAATTTCCTTCTGATGTTCAGTTTTGGTTGTTTTTTTCTGTCAGTCATGGGGTCTGAACTCTGGGCCTGGATGCTGTCTCTCAGCTCTTCAGCTCAAGGCTAGCACTCTACCACTTGAGCCACAGTGTCACTTCTGGCTTTTTTTGTTTATGTGGTGCGAGGAATCAAACCCAGGCCTCATGCATGCAAGGAAAGCGCTCTACCACTGAGCCACCTTCCCAGCTCCTGATGTTCACTTTTTCTGAAGTAGAATCCATGTTATATATTAGACAGCAATTGTAACATTGGACATCCATGTATTGGTCCATACTTCAATATGAATTTCTCTAACATTTTATTAACAGGACAAGGTCCACCTACTTCTGACAGAGAGCTGCTTTCTTGTTAAGATCATTCCTTGGGCTAGGACACAGCTTAATAGTGGAACACTTGCCTGTGTCATTATGTGGTAGATATGTTGCCCGGTTCAAGAGCTTAGAATTTCTTAATCCTAGCTTGATTAATTTCTAAGGAAGAAATATTTTTAAATGTATTATTAAATTATATTTACAATATAAATGTTTATTGGATGCAACAAAAAACAGAATATTTCAGAAATGTAAATAAACAGTGATTTAAAACTCAATCCCTTGCCCAGTGCCAGTGGCTCACCCCTTGCTACTCAGGAGGCTGAGATCTAGGATCACAGTTTGAAGCCAGCTGGAGCAGAAAAGTCCCCAGAAGACTCTTATCTCCAATTAACCACTCAAAAACCAGAAGGGAAGCTGGCTGTGGCTCCAAGTGGTAGAGCACTAGCCTTGAGCAAAAAGAGCTCAGGGACAGAGCCTAGGACCATGACTAACAAGAACAAAAGAGAGAGAGAGAGAGAGAGAGAGAGCGCGCACTGGTTTGATTCATTGTTGCTGAAGGATTTATAGCAAAAGTATTAGCAATCACTAGAATAAAATATATCATTAAATTATTAAATTTATCATTTATTTTCAGCATTTATATGACTCTTTTGAGTTAAAAATAAATATTTATTTTGCCCGATTTCTTTTGGTGGGTTTTGGCTCAGGGCCTCATGCCTGGTAGGTAGACACTCCAAACATTTGAGCCACCCCTCCCAACACTTCCAACGCTTTTTGCATTAGTTTTTTGTTGTTGTTTTTCCAGAAAAGGTCCTGCTTTTGCCCAAGACAGCCCCTAAATTCTCTTCTCCTAAGCATAGCTTATTACACAAGTAGAATTACAGTATTCCTAGCTTGCTTGCTGAGATGAGGTCGCACTTTCTTGTCCATTGCTCTCATTCTTGAAAGATAATTTGTGGAGAGGTGTTATGTTGGGAATAGAGTTCTAGTTTAACACTGATGGTTATCTGCCTTTCAATATTGTTGTTGGCGACCCAATTTTAAGTCTAACCACTGTTACCAGGAAGGTAATTGATATTTTTTCTCCATGGCTGCTTTTATGACTTTTGAGTCTGTGTACTTTGCAGTTTACTCCGCTTATTTGGGATTTATGAGGCTTCTGGAATCTGCAGACTGCTATTTTGCCTATATTTTGGAGACTTTTCTAGGCATTACGTTCTCTCATACTGTATCTGCTCCATTACCTCTCATAGCTCTCAGAATTCTAATTAAGGGTACAGCAGACCCTCTTGGTCTTCCAGCTCTTAAATGCTCATTCATATGTTATGCCTGTCTCTGTGTTGCATTTTGTACAATTTCCTCTGACCTTTCCTCCAGTTCACTGTATTTTCATCTGCTGCTAATCTGCTACTTAGTGAGCATACAAGACTTTGGATTCATTCATCATACCTTTTATTTCTAGAAGCTATATTTGCTCCCTTTTCCAATCTGCCTAGCTAACACTGGACGTTTCTTATTCCTTTGTCAAACTTTCAGTTTGTTTGTGTAGTTGGTTTTTTTTAAATTTTGTACAGGGGCTCAGGCTTGAACCCAGGTGTTGTGCCTGGGCTTTTTTTTTTGCTTTACATTTGAGCCACAGCTCCACTTTGGGGGGGGTAGTTTATTGGAAATAAGAGTCCCATAGACTTTCTTGCCTAGGCTGGCTTTGAAGCACGATCCTTAGATCTCAGCCTCCTAAGTTGCTAGGATTACAGGTATGAGCCACTGAACCCAGTGAATTTTCAGTAATATTACATACGTGTTCCATCTTCTGTCTAACTCCAGCCTCTGCCCGCTTCATCCATGTGGCTTCTTTCCTTTTTTCCTTTTGGTAAATTCGCATCCCTTGGAACTGCATTTGTGGGAATTCTTTACAGCATGGATAAAAGTGTACCAGAGAAAGAAGACTCATCTCTGCTAGGACCCCCACATAGGGGCCATTTTAACTAAATGGTTGCCTTGGGCTTTTTGGAAGGCTTTTGGAACCCCAGGCTTGTGATTCGTGCCTGTGGATCACAAGTGAACACCTCCTGTGATGCAGGGTAGGAACAGGAAGATGGAGCCCAGGCTGTCACTCCTGTGCAGCCCCTTCCTGTGGCCCTTCCCTGGAGTTGCCTTATTCTCCATGAGTGTGTGAGAGGAAGACAGGTATCAGCAATGGTGTGACAGCACAGATCATCACACTGCAGCATCAGTCACTGTGAATTCTAATAGAAACAATTCAGTTTGTAATAAACCTCTCTTTGTGTTTGGAAGCGGTATTTCTACTAGCCTGTTACATTTTTCTGACATTCACAATTCTCACTACTATATTTGTAAACTTTTTACTACTACATTTATCATCTATAGTATTAGCTAGCTTTATCAGGCTTTGTTGTCAGGACTAGGAAGCTTCACATTAATCAGGTAGCTTTTCAGTTTCTTCTGTACTCTGGAATAATTATCATAACTGAAATTAGCAGTTAACTGACAAAGTCAGAAAGCATGTCTAGAAAATTGATTATAACCCATTCTCTTCTCACCTCACCTTTTTTAACCTACTCATTAAGACTCATAAAAGTTTTATTTGTTGTATTTATTTTGTTTGAAGGGACTAGGGCTTGAACTCAGGGTCTTGCACTCTCGATCACCTTTCTTGCTCCACGGGCAACTCTAGCACTTGAGTCATATCTCCAGTCCTCCTTTTTGCTGATTATTTTGAAGATGTAGTCTGTTGGACTTTTTCTGACCAACTTGTTCCTAACAACAATCCTTTAGAAGTCAGCCTCTTGGGTGGCTTAGGTGTTAATCATCAGTGCTCAGAACTTAAAAGGTTTTCATTATATTTCCTCTCATTCCTAGATATTAAAATGTACCATCTCAATTAGATGCAATCTGTGATATAAGACCAACTTTTTATACTTGTGATTTCTATTCTTTAGGGGTTTAAAAAATATTCTAAGGAGCCAGGCACTGGTGGTTCATGCCTGTAATCCTAGCTACTGAGGAGGCTGAGATCTGAGGATTGTGATTCAAAGCCAGCCTGGGCAGGAAAGTCCGTGAAACTCTTATCTCCAATAAACCACCAGGGAACTGGAAGTGGCGCTGTAGGAAGTGGTAGAGCGCTTGCCTTGAGCTGAAATGCTGAGGGACAGTGCCCAGGCCCAGAGTTCAAGCCCCATGACCGACAAAAATAAAAAATAAAAATAAATAAAAATTCTAAGGCGTCTCAGCTTCATCTTAAAAGCCATGGAGAGGTGGATAGAGTGCCAGCCTAGGAAGCATGAGGCCCCAAGTTCAAACCCTAGTATTTGAAAACATAAAATTAGAAAAAAATAGAGTGCCACAAAGAGAGTTCATGGTTAAATTCATATTGAAAAATAATATTTCATTAGCATCCGAGAGCAAATTTAAAAACTGTAAAAAGTTAGAGGAACAGAGGAGTTGGGAGGAAGACCCACCCAACACAGAGTGGCAGTAAGGGCAGCAAGCCAGCTGAACGGGCACAGAAGAGGCTACTGTAGAAGACAGTGAGGGCCAACAGCAGTGATGGATAACGGCAATCCTGGG